ATCATGAAAGTGTTCTCAAAGCTGGTAAAGGTGCAGCTAGTTTGAATGACTTTGTATACTGCAGGGTAGCTTGTGGATTTACTCCAGGTGGAACTAAAGTCTGATTTAACACTTGATTATATTTCATATCATTCATCCACATCTGTAAGGTGAGGAAGAGGAGTAGGAGGTGTGTTTGAAACGTCTCACATTTGGTCCAGGTGTGGAGAGACAGCGATGCTCGGTCTGCTCTCTCATGTTTCATATTCTCACACATGCAAACACACACAGGGTTCTTTGTGAGTGGATTCATTTGGACGGCGTTGAGGCTTCGATGCACAAAGTCTCACCGCCGCAGGAATTCACTCCTGAGAAATGTTTTGCAGCGGGGGAAAATCAAAGAAATAAAACTCTGAATAAAACGGCCGATGAGGCACCAGTTAGCAACACAAAGAACGGCTCTTAGTCAGTGTCCTTCAGCGTCCATTTGAGACGCTGAAGGAGCCTTGTTGCGTCAGAGATGGACGCCAAAGGACACTGACCAAGCGTCGTTCTTTGACCAAAGGGAGTGAGACTGTCTTGGCAAATCTTACGCAGGTTAACTATATGTACTTCTACTTTCACTATATTTTGATGAGAATACTTTTCTACTTTTACTTGAGGAACATTTTTGAATGCAGGACTTTTACTGTAACAGAGTATTCCTACACTCTGGTACTTCTACTTTTACTCAAGTACAAGATCTGAGTACTTCTACTTTTACTCAAGTACAAGATCTGAGTACTTCTACTTTTACTCAAGTACAAGTTCTGAGTACTTCTACTTTTACTCAAGTACAAGTTCTGAGTACTTCTACTTTTACTCAAGTACCAGATCTGAGTACTTCTACTTTTACTCAAGTACAAGATCTGAGTACTTCTACTTTCACTCAAGTACAAGATCTGTGTACTTCTACTTTTACTCAAGTACAAGATCTGAGTACTTCTACTTTTACTCAAGTACAAGATCTGAGTACTTCTACTTTTACTCAAGTACAAGATCTGTGTACTTCTACTTTTACTCAAGTACAAGATCTGAGTAGTTCTACTTTTACTCAAGATCTGAGTACTTCTACTTTACTCAAGTACAAGATCTGAGTACTTCTACTTTTACTCAAGATCTGAGTACTTCTACTTTTACTCAAGTACAAGATCTGAGTACTTCTACTTTTACTCAAGATCTGAGTACTTCTAATTTTACTCAAGTACAAGATCTGAGTACTTCTACTTTTACTCAAGTACAAGTTCTGAGTACTTCTACTTTTACTCAAGTACAAGTTCTGAGTACTTCTACTTTTACTCAAGTACCAGATCTGAGTACTTCTACTTTTACTCAAGTACAAGATCTGAGTACTTCTACTTTTACTCAAGTACAAGATCTGAGTACTTCTACTTTTACTCAAGTACAAGATCTGAGTACTTCTACTTTTACTCAAGATCTGAGTACTTCTACTTTTACTCAAGATCTGAGTACTTCTACTTTTACTCAAGTACAAGATGTGATTACTTCTACTTTCACTCAAGTACAAGATCTGAGTACTTCTACTTTTACTCAAGTACAAGATGTGATTATTCTACTTTTACTGAAGTACAAGATCTGAGTACTTCTACTTCTACTCAAGATCTGAGTACTTCTACTTCTACTCAAGATCTGAGTACTTCTACTTTTGCTCAAGTACAAGATCTGAGTACTTCTTCCACCTCTGATTCTAATCCTAATCCCCATCTTTTAGACATGTAACAGTAATCTGTCTTTTTTTATGTAACTTTTAGGGATTACAGTTACTTCTCTTTATTTCCTGATGATCCGTTACTCCTGTTATTTTGAGACGTTGCACAAACTGTTTCTCATCTGGAGTGTTTTGTTTTGCATCACACCGTCTCCATGTCTTCCTCTCTCCTCTCTCTCCTCTCTCTTCTCCCCTCTGGTGTCAGGCTCTCTGTCACTCTCACCTCCTCCAGCCTCCTTCCTCTCACACATCTCAGTTTCTTTCTGTTTCTCCTATTCCTCGCGTCCTTCTCTGGCTGTTCCTCCTGTCTCTTCCTCATCTGTTTTTCCTTTCTCATTATCCCCTTTTGTCGTCACCTCGTTCTTCATTTAAACACCTTCTTCGCTCTCTGTTTCTCACACGGTTTCTCTTCCTCGGCCGATGCTCGTGTCCAGGGTTGGGACTTTAAAAACATAATCTGTTACATTACTTAGTAAATGTCATGAGTAACCTAATCTAAGTGACACACTATATAAGTAATGTAACCTGATGATATAGCTTTGGATTACCTCAACATCAAATGCAATGCAAATGAATACAAGAGAAGCAAATGTCAATACAATATGTTGTACTGAAGTGTATTATGTCAGACGACAGAACAGAAAAGAAGAAACCAAGATATTTAGGATCAAAAATGTCTCTTAAAGGTGGGGTAGGTAAGTTTGAGAAACCGGCTCGAGATCGCTAGAATTTGAAAATACACAGCCGGAGAAA